AAAAAAAATTGACGTTTGCAGCTGTCAATGAAAATGGTATTCGGCAAGATGTGAAATATCAAGGTCGATCGGATGGTGACATTGACTTGACCTTGAACAGTTATCCAATTGGCGGAGTGTCAAAAATCAAGTGTGCCCAGTGACAGTGGACAATGCAACTGTCAATGTCATAAATGCGAAAAATCGCGATGACCTTGAGCATAATTAATGAGATATTCACGATGTGATCGGTGTAACCATTTGACAGATATGTCAAATTAAAGAAATTTCGAATATTGCTGGTTGACTGTTTGAAAATTGTTTAAAAACTGACAGTTCGACTGATGACCTTGAAAAAATCACCATTTAAAAGAGCATGAAATTTTGCATTGGAAAATTGATTTCGGCCAAGGATTCCGGTCTGATAGGTGGGGCAAAAAAATTCGTCAACATTGGTCAGTGTGTCGAAAAATGGGAAAAAAAATTCCTGAAACTGTCATTATGACGTGAAAAATTTGACACTCCAAGTGTGTGATGAAATGTTCGAATTCAGATCGTATAATGTAGATTGGAATTCTATCAATATTTGGCAACACCGCAAAATCCCAAACAACCTGTTTTTCCATGGTTATGGTCACAACAGCCACGCCCCATGAACGCTTAGCACATAGCAGCTTGTCACAGCAACCGTCTCACTCTTAGTCATTGTCCGTGGTGAAAGCGATTGGGCCCGAATAAACGGTTGTCGAGTTGCAAGCTTTGTAAGCTAGATGGTGCCACGAATTTAATGTGACGCCATTCATACAGATGGTGTTGGGCACGCCAAATATAAAGCAAACCGTATGGCAATGTTAATTCTCAACTTGTATCATTTTGTGGTTCTGAAAAGAACCGTTTTTTTTTGTAATGGCTGTCAATTGGTAATGAATTCCTTTGGCTGTTTCTTTATTCGGAACTAGTGTATTTCAATTGATTATAAAATGTCGAATGCAGATTAAGATTCATGCAGCTTAACCACCAAATCCATACAATGTACGTCCTTGTCGTTTCAAGGCATAAACGACATCCATTGCTGTAACAGTTTTCCTTTTAGCATGCTCGGTGTAGGTTACAGCATCTCTAATGACATTCTCAAGAAATACCTTCAGCACTCCTCGAGTTTCTTCGTAAATCAAACCGGAAATTCTCTTAACTCCGCCACGTCTTGCCAATCTCCTGATTGCAGGCTTTGTTATACCTTGGATATTATCACGTAACACTTTTCGGTGACGTTTTGCGCCGCCTTTGCCTAATCCTTTTCCACCTTTACCACGACCAGTCATTGTTAAAATTGATTATTCAAAACCGGACAGCTGTATGTAACTCGACAGCTAAGAAACTGCAGCAACTACTGCTTGAACCGCTGTTGAACGTTGCGGTTTTGTTAAGAAG